GTTCTTACACCCATCTCCTGTACAAAGCTCAAGATCCATTCAGCCCATGAACACAGTCCAATTGGTCCTACTCAGGGTTTTTTTAATCTTGTGCTGGTAATTTGGATAAGGGACTAGTCTATGCTTCACAGATCAAGAAACCCAGGAAGAGATTTTTGGTGGAACCAGCCCCTTATGGCCAGTTCTTTCACCCATCTCCTGTGCAAAGCTCAAGACCCATTCAGCGCTTGGAGACGGTCCAACTGTTCCTGAACAGGTATTCTTAAAACCTTGCACCAGCAATCTGGCCAAGGGACCAGTCTATGCTTCACAGATCAAGAACCTGTCGTAGAGTTTTTGATGGAACTGACCATATCCATATTTGTGTGACCTTTCACTCTTTTATAGAATTGCCTTGGATTGATGGATAAATCGAACTTTCCTTACCCCCTAATTTATTGATTAACTTGAAATAGTAAACAACAGTTTATTGAAATTGACTCTGTCAGAAAAATTGGAATGAAATTTTCTCAGTCAGTTAAAACAAATTGTCACAGGACCAGGCCATATTTATTCTGGGTTTGACAACTTCACAATAATTGACACATAAAGGTTGCAACAGTACACATAGCTTTTAGTGATATATTACAGGATGAAGTTGGACAAATACTTAACTGAACACAATTCTGTGTTTCTTGGGATAATTGGTCAGAGGGAACATTATCACTTAAGCTCTTTTCTCTTGATGGAGGAAAACAAATGAAAAATATTTATTAACTAGATAATATTTCATTAACTCAAAGGAATAATAATTGTATAGAGTACATGCCCTACAGGCTTAACATGCTTAATCCACCAACTGTTAAACTCAAAACCAATTGATGAGTTTGGGAAAGGTAGAGCCAAGCAAGATATGAGCCTCAAGCAGCCCATGCAGGTATCCATAGCAACACTGCTAGCAGCAACCACCAGGCACCGTCATACTGACAGAATCATTGGAGATACTTATTACCCATATATGTATATTTACTGTCAGTTGTGAAAGGAAGGGAGGCAGGGTGAAAAAGCATGCTACAAGCATTAATGGCACTCAAAGCAAACTTCAAGTTCTTCCACAGCTAGCAAGCAACACTCTTAAGTCCTTCAAAATCCTGTATGAGACCCCACAGAACATGCCCCCCCCCCCTGAAAGGCTGCTGACCGGCACTAGCTCGAGTCAATTGTTGCCTAAATGAGAATTATACTAGGGCCACGAAGCAGCCTGAAGTTATAATTCAAATTATATAAACAGATGAAGTGAGAAAGAGAGAGAGCCTTTAGCAATGTGTATGAATGCAAGAGAAGTGATTTCACCTGAATTGAAACATTTAAGACATCACAATTTCTACTGGCTACAAGAGTTTTGTGAGGCTAGGGGAAAAAATTCCAGCTTGCCCTTGGGACAAGTAGCAGGGATTGAGAAGGCCATGCGCCGTAGGCATATGGCACATAAATCTATGAAATGAAGCATTATAAAAGCACCTACCAGCCTGCGATGTGCCCTAGCATCAAAACAGCTAGCAAAATATACACTATTTTGTGGAAAGGATTTTCATTTGTGAAATTTTCAGTGTTATAATGACTAAACATGTGAGAAATGAAGATGCCTATGCTCTTCAATCGACATTAAGAAAGCATTTTTCATCCCCAGACCCCTTACTTGGGGTCTTGCTCAATCCATGTGCTTTCTGTTTTTCAATGATAGAAACGGCTGATTTGAATATGGTCGAATATGTTTTGCATGCTGTAATTAGCCGAATAATGTGCCTCTGAAAGCAAAAGTTCCAAAATTGCCGCTTTACACTACGAACACCAAGTTCGCCACAACGAATTGTGATCCTGAAAACAACAATCAAGATGAAGCTTCCAAGCCTTCTAGTTCTAAGGAACGAAAAAACTTTTGGTGAATGTTTCATTAATTATTAGAGAGCTACAGGTGTGTTATGTACAGTTCATGTATAGCTCAAGTTTTAAATTGTAAATGCAACCTTACTTGTCACTCTAAATCTAAAACTGAGCATGTCTCAGTGATGTTGATGTCAGACTACTCGGTGTGTTACATTTAATCAGTTCCAGTTCAGAATGCATAGCTTAACCTCAATGAAAGGTTATATAATTTGAGTTAGCTATATTCTGTGACTGTACACTTTAACCTAGCTTGAAGTCCAGTAAAAAGTATAAAACAACAGCAATCAAGAATTACGAATCATTTGTCAAAAAAAATTTTTATGGCCCATTTATTTACCTAATGGCCCATTTTTTTCATATAAATGGCCCATAACTTTCCAATGCCATGGGCCATAGGCTCATTTGTCTGTTTTGCCTTCCCAATCCCTGAAGTAGCACTCAAATCTCACTTGCCCTAGGTAAGTACTTGTCCTGGAAGATCAGACAGCACTTTTTGGGAGCCCTGAATAGCGCGAGTGAGCATCCAAAGCTCAGTGTGCGTAAAATAATGTTAGAATTTTACCACTAATTTTAAGTAAGAAAAATCCTTGTTTATAATACAAAAATGGTGAATAATAAGAAAAGGTCTTCGAAAACTTTATATTACTATGAATTTCCTAGCCCTTAAACTCATCAACAATAGATGAGCTTGGGGAAGGTGCCTGGAAAGATAGTGGAGCCTCGAGCACAAGAGCCGAGCACATAGGGTAACCATGACAACCCTGTGCACAAGAGCCGAGTTGTAGGGCAACCATGACAACCCTGTGAGCGGCAACCACCAGGCACCGTCACACTGCAAAAACAGTGGAACCATAATACTTACCTCATACTTACCAGAGAGGGAGGGAGAGCAGGGAGCTAAATCGCCAAGCACAGTCGAAACGGCACAAACGCACGTGAGAATGAGTTGACCTCAAAAGCCACACTGTAAAACCACACGACCCCCAGCAGACCCCACACCACTGCTCATGTCCAAAACAGGGGAAGGCTGCTGACCAGCACTGTTTCACGTTTAACTTAGCTGAAATTACATTTAACCACATCAAAACAGATTAAAAAGACATTGAAAATAAGGATTAAAAAGTACTTTGATTTAATTTTGCTTTGATTTAAAATTTAAAATTGCTCATTTGCTTTCGATCCCTGTCACCAAGGGTTCATAATTTTAATAGCTCTACTTTTATTGGCACAAGAAACTCACTCATTGTTCACAGTTATTCATGGTAATGAATTTCTTTCACTGATTGTGTCCTCTCCCCCCTTCTGCATCTATCTATTTACAAAAACCAAATACAGCGGAACCCCGCCTTACGACCACCCCGCTAATACGACTACCTCGTTATTATGGCCACTTTATTCTGGCCTGAAAAAAAGTTCAGTGAGTCATTTTCTAATTTAAAGAACCCCTTTAATACAACCACCCCGTTAATGCGACCAATTTTCCATGGCCCTAAGGTGGGCGTATTAACGGGGTTCCACTGTAGAAGATGGTGTTCCATGTTCTCTTAGAAAATAAATATGCACATTTGAGGACTAGAAAAACTGTTAGTGGATGGATGAGCAGAATCCAAGTGCTTAGCAGTTTTTCTAGCCTCAAATTTATTACAGTGCCTAAGAGGTCAAAATAAATGACGTAAGTCTTGTTATTTGAGGATATGGAATTTCCAATCAGTAGGGGCCCCGAAGTTGAAATATCATGGAAATTCCAGGTGGTAGGGGGGAGCACCTTCAAATGGGGGTCAAACACAAAAAAAAAACCTCCATGGGGGAAGAGGTTGGATATTTTTCTGGACTCACACATTTTATACCCGGTCTGCTGTCTGTATTTTACACTACCGTTTTTACATGTTTTATACACGTGCATACCTTGACAGTGGAGGGTGTCAGATAGAGCTTGTCCATGATCATTCAATGCTAATTATTTCACAATAATCATTAATAAACATACCTGCTCTATGGTGCCAAATATATTTAGTTGTTGTCCTGTACTGCCAGTCATTTACTGTTTATCTTATCTTTATCTGGTGACGTTTCTCATTTCCTCTGTTCTACTCTTCATCTGATCCAATCTTGGCTTTTAGTTTTGTTTCAGTTCGGTCAGCCTGAAGCTTAATTCTCACTTGATGTATCCACTGTCTTTCCACGGCTTCAACATTTCGGTTATTTCTCAACGAGAGGTTTACATTTCCTTGTGTAACAGCCCCGAGAAAAAGCGCGTTTAGTTTACTAGAGCATTACACTCAAAAAGTTTGTTTCCCTCTTCCACATGTCTTCCGCCATTTTGTTGTTATCTCTTGACCCCAAACTCACTCGGTCACAAAGTCGTGTCTGTATCACGTGATAGTTTCGTCCCCAGTCTTAGCCGACAGGGGTTTGGCCACAGGAAAATCTCGCTTGTGAGACGATTTGATGGGCTCAAGACAGGATCAAGATTCACAGAGGACGTTTGAAGAAGAAAAAGACCAAGTTACCGCTACACAAAAAACATTGGTTGTGAGTACAGTTCATGCTTTGGCAAAACGTCAAAACCATCTTATCCGAAGCGAGTGTTTGCAAGGTTTGCTTGAAGTAAATTCTTGTCGCAGGTATTGGTGTTTCACAACAACGCTGAGCGGAAATACTAGTCAGAACTTGTTTCTAGTGGCTGAGAGCTAAGTAAAATTTCTCCGCTAGTTGAATTCTTGAACGTGATGGGATGCTATCAAGCAAGAAAGACCGTGCTTGACAACATTTCAAAACACCGAGGAGTGAGTTGAAAATACTACGCATGGCGGATTATCAGCTCTTAAACAATCAGTTTCCACAGGTGACAAGAAGGTGAAAACTCTCTGGTTTTAAGGAATTAAGGGACCAAAAAATTCGAAAAAAAATTAGTCTTTTGGCGGGAAAAATTATCCTTAGAAAAAAAACGTCTGCGCTTTTGAATGGTGTCTGGTTTAGAGTCAAAAATATATATAGTCTTTTGGCGGGAAAAATCTTGCACTGTGCAACAGATCTGTCCCATCAAAAGTCAAAGTATACGTTTGCTTTCTGGTCAGACTCTGCTCAAAAGTGTAGATTTTGTTTTCTTTTTGGCAGCCCTACGTAGTCAAAAAATAGTAAAAGAGATAGCCTACATTCCGACTAGTTTCCAGGCCCAATTTAAAAACGCATTTTTTTTTCTTTCTTTCGTTAAGCGAAAGACAAAGGAGAAATGAAGCAAACAATAGTTGTCAAATATTTTATTGTTTTCATTTTATTGTTTTCTATCATTAATGTATTTACAAGTTGTAGTAAGGTAAACTTGTTTACAACACTCGAATCTGTTCTTCATGCTATTAATAAAAGAAGTTTAAAAAAATCAATGTCTGAAAATTATTTGTAGAAACTAATAAGACGAAATTGCTTAATCGAAGAAAAACAAAATCTGAAACATCTATAATTACTACGAGAATCACCAGAAATGAAAATAATTGAGGCAAAAACTAATCGAGAAATGTAATCGAAACTAAAACTAAAGACTAGAGGAAAAATAAATTCAATAAATAAAATCAACTGGGTCGTTGCTTTTTACAGTTTCAAGTAACCATTTGCTCTGGTTTTGACAATAAATATTCCGTTGACTTACTTGATAGCTTTTTGCAAAAATATTTGCTGAAAGTTCTTAAAGCATTGAATACCATTTAAATACGGATCCATATTTTGAACTGAAACCACGCGGAATATAAAATTCAAATGCCAGCTTTTAGCTTTCAAAATTTGCAGTTAAAAAGACTATCGTTTAACCAAACAGTGTAATCTGTCGACATAGAAGAAAATACGCCACGTTCGATGTATCAATATTCTAACATGGCTCCAAGGCTTTCGGGTCAAAATTGCAAGTTTTTTAAGTTTCTTTTGTCTCTCAATTTCCAGAAGAGACTTGGATACAAAGAAAACAACACCAAATATAAAAGTTTGTCCTGAAAGTCTCGGAGCCATGTTACAATACTGATATATCGAACGTGGCCTATTGCAACTGATTTCGTGGTAAACAATCAAGTGAAAAGTTCTTTCAAAACAACTAAATTGAGCTGCCTTGTCAGCAAAAATAATACCATGTTATAAATCGAAACATCACGGAATATACAATTCGTATATTAATTTTTACTTTTCAAAATTTGGCTGGTAAAATATTCCTGCATAGTTTAGTACGTGTCAAATTTGACTGTAATGAAATAGCAAGATCTGGCGAGATTCCACATAATTCCGGCTGACTGCGCAAATGACAGGCAATTCAAAATTTGAGTGATCTGCTGAAGGATTTGAGTGAATTCACTCGAAGTTTTTGTGTGGTTTTTGCCGAATTTGAAATTCAAGACAATTTCAGCTGACTGTGATAAACAAGCAAACGACAATTTCTTCCACGAAATTTGTGATTTCAATAACATGGATCCGCGTTAATTTCTTTAATCCATTCAGTTTCTAGCTCAAGGTGTAAATTCTCTTTCAGTAATTCCTATTCGTTTCTTTTACCATTAGTTGAGAGAATTTGGCGATACATCCCGACTACAGTTAGATGCAAATTTTCCCGTTACTTTTCTGCTTGACAATGTTCTGTCGAACGATACAAGTACCTAAAGTATTGTCCTTTATCTAACGAAACTTCAAGATCAGGAACCATATAAGCATGATTCAGAGCCTTCTTCATGTCAGCAGGCATCAGGCGTCCATAAGAGTCCAAGACGTGCAGCAAGGCGTTGCTAAGGAAATATAAAGAAAAGATCAGCACAACACTTCAGCAACTTAATATACAAACGTCTGAACTCAAAATTTTCACCACAAAAAGAAATCGACGGAGATCTATTGTAAGTGTACCTGTTGTGGCAAAACAATTTGCATTTTTGTTTGCACGTGATAGAATGTCTTCAAGTTAATAATTTCATGTTCTAAAACAAACCAGCCTTGCAATCTTACAGGACCAAGACACATGGAATCAAAATGGTCGTTTTGAAAACACCGACTCTTCAATATATTTAGGAAAGCAAAACACAGCAGTTAGACAAAAATAGTTTCCTTTATACTCCGAGTGAACTGGTAATGACCAAGTCGTTTATTTATTCCTGTTTTGCTGCAAAAGAGAGCATATTATTTATTTTGTTACTGTAAACAGGAAGCCGTTGTAAGAATTAATTAATCAAAATAGAATCTGCTTGAAATCTCCCTATGGGGGTATGTTTACCTCGCAGAAGTCACGTTGCAATGAATAATTAATTTGCATTATAATGAACCCCAAAATGGCGGCCACGGCGTGTGGGACCTTTCAAAGGTCATTCAAGGTCCCCAAACTCCGGAGGGAAGACTAAAAACACAGTATTCGGCATCATCGAAACTATATGCTAATATTCGTAAATGATGACCCTCAGAAATCAAATTCATTTTGGTAAGTTAATTGCCTGTCCTTGACAAAAGTATTGCCTCGAACAAAACGTACCCACAAGAAAACTGTTTAAAATTTCAATGTGAAAATATCAGTAATATTTTGCCAGTAGAGGGATTTTCAAAAGCTCGTAACTGAAACTCGAAGAGATATTTCCTTTCAAAGCGACAACAATTTTTGCCTCTTGGATAGTCCTGCAAATATCCGGTTGCCTTTTTAAAACTCATGTCTTTTTACATCGTATTAAGTGTCCAGTGATTGGACGGAAGTTTCCGGTAATTTAGATATATACCAAAAAAGATTTACGTCGATGGCTCAGAAATTTGAATAGCTCTCCTTGCTTAGTAACAATTTTGTTGACTCCACAACTAACAAAAAACGCTTGGGCAAACCTGACTGCGTGTTACGCATAACCAAGATAAATAGAATCATGGTAAAGATTTATAAACTCACCCTTTTTGTTAATCAGAAAGACATCTCCATCATTATTTCATTTAAGCTCCATTTTCATCTTCTTCAACCATGAGGAACCACAGAAATACCCAGCTACAAAGTGATCAAGAAAGCAAAGTAAGTAATGACATCAAAACCTTTTTTTTCGCCATAAAAAATCACTTAGTTTTACAGTGTAAGATAAACAATCCTTAAGACGCGCGTGTTTCAATATAAGATACTAAATAATGGCTCTCCCTTAGTGTTTTGGGCACAGAGAAAGTTTGCAGTTTTTGAATGTCAATATCTCCTCAAATTGATTCCACCAAAAGAACCAAAATTTTTGTATCTAGCATGAAGCGTTCTCTACGCAATCAGACAAAATGTAAACAATGACCTAAGCAACGATCACCCTATTGTCCTCACTCCATTAATTAATTAATCCGGAAAGAACCCCGCGAAAGTTAAACACAATCAATTAAAAAATAAAAGTAGAAAAAGTAACAAGAGCGCAATATCTGGGGATTAAATGTGAGATGAA